GATTATCCTCGATTTCGGATTATCCACTTCAGTTTTTTGGAAATATCTTAAACTTTATGGGAGGTGTGGTACAGGGGCGTAGCCAGGGGGGGGCCATAGGGGGCCCGGGCCCCCCCTACGAAAATCTGATAATTGTTTTATTAAGTTTTTATAGAGAAGAACCAGTTAATGTAGAGGAAGTGATGAAAGAAATGTCAAAATAAGCACGAAAAATTAAATTTAATGTATGAATAATGAATTAAATATTTAAACTTATGAAGAATGAATATAGATTTAAGGATACAAAATAACGGTTTTTTAATTTTCGAAAATGGGCCCCCCCCTCAAAAATTTTCTGGCTACGCCCCTGGTGTGGTATTTCTAATTTTGGATTATAATAGAGTGAGCTATGCCTGAAATTTCTGTATACTTTAAACTTTTACTTTTCGTTAAGAACTATCAATTATTCAATTTCCTAGCCAAATCTAGTAGATTAACTTCAATTTTTGCTATAATTCTCAAACTAGTGAAGATATAAAAATTCTTAGTATATGTTGATTTTAGTAGCAAAGTACTCTTGCTAGATCACACATTAGATCTCTTAATAACCTTAAGCGTCTGGCGATATTTCCAAAAAACTGAAGTGGATAATCCGAAATCGAGGATAATCCACTTTAGTGAAACAGGCTGATAGTGCTTAACCCTTGGCAAATATATTTTTATTTTATCTATTTTATTCAAAAGCTTCACTCAAAAGAAGTCAAACAAAAACTTCAATTCAATTAAATAAAAAGCAAAATGAAATAAAGGCAAAAGTAGAAATTGAAAAGCAGAAAAGTACTTCCATCATTGCTCAAATTGATGGAAATGAAGAGTGAAAATTGAGAAAAGTGTAGGAAATATAATTCCATTCGTATGGAAATTAAAAGAATTTTTGAAACGCAATCACGTTCGAGCTCTTAGTTGAACTCTTTATCAAACATGTAATTATGCTCTTTTCTCGTTTCTCGTTTATAACTTGTTAGAGGAAATGATGCTGGTACAGAATGAAATTGAGAAGGTAACAGAAAGAAAATAATATTTTTGGGAGACTTGTCAAAAAAAAAAGAAATTCAAATGAAATGGAATTCAAATGTGCTGCTGGCGATAAAAAAAAACTAATAGAAGATGAGCAAGAATTTTAAGGAATTTCTTGTTGGGTCTGATGGAATTTAACTTAAAGTTTTTGTTACGTGATATAAAAGTTTGTTATTTTTTTCAGTTTTATGAAAGGATCAAGTGCGTAGCTATGAAAAATGATTGCCTAGGACTAAGTTGCCAAATATTGAATTAAGTTTTTGGATGAAAAATATTTATCATAGGGGCCATTCACTTATTACGTAACGCTTTTAGGGGGGGAGGGGGGTCTAAGATTTTGTTACCGTTCAAACAAGGAAATTTTTTTTTCATACAAATTTTGTTACGAGGGGGGGGGGTCTAAAAAGTCATTTTTTCGCGTTACGTAATAAGTGAACAGCCCCATATGAGTTTAAGAGCTTTAATTGAAAAATAAATCGGTCGATATCAATGAAATTGCAGTTTTAAATCTAATCTAAAATTTGGTAATTCTACAAATTGTTCTGAAAAAGGACCAAAATAATTCTTTTAGACATTCGCACAAAACTCTAAGCTACAAAACCCTTTTAATTTTTTTCATTATAACAATCTCAGAGAGTAGCATCATTGACTTAAGAGGTAAAGCGTTGGCTTTACGAGCCAAAGATCCTGAGTTCAATCCCATACAGTTTAAGAAGCTCTTTTTAAATTTCACCGTTCTAGTTACGTATGGATATACTAGCATCTAGATGACTTCGTTACAGCAACTTATTACCACAGGATGTGACTATGTGTATTGCAGGGTACATCCAGGTCTTTGGACGTACTCGTGTCTTTGCATTGTACGGAGCTTGTAAGTGGTTCGGATTCTGCTACAAACTGTAGGTCTGAAAGGTATAGTACAAAAGATTAACAATCGCAGCAGTACCTTTAGCTCAGAAAGCTGAGCCCTTAAAGCAGAAATATATTGTAACAATAATGAATGAACATTGTACACTAATAATTATAATCCTATTCAAATTGTGTCTATGAATAATTTTATCCTACGTAAATATGCCGAAAAAAAAAGCTTGATGATTCAACAAAAAAACGAAAGACTCTCGATAAATATTTTATTCTCTTTAATTAATTTTCTTTTCATTCCATTCTCATTTTTATAAAAGATCATCATTGCCTAGGCATTCCTGTAGCACAAAAAAAAGTGCTAGCATCATTTGCAATTCTCTCGACATTTTTACCAGGTGACATTTTTTCTTCATTTCCGTCTAAATTTCCATTTTTCTTTTCCATGTCTCTTAATTACATTCCAAATTAATTCGTGATGTAATTTTAATTTGTTTTTTCATGCTTCTTCCTTAGTCTTTTTTTACCATTTGCTTTCTTCATCTTCACAGGACGGATATTTTTTTTGTGTTTGTCAGGAAAACATTTTTCATAGCTACTGCCGATCCCAATTTTTTTTCCTCTCTCTTCCGTATCTCTGTCTTGACTTAAGCATTTGAACAGGTTTTTAATGAGAGTATCAAGAAGCGAAATGAAATACGAAAAAAAGGATTGTCATGATGTATAGACATACACCTCAAATGCTTGCAGAATTTAACGACAAAAAAATAAATGAAAAAGACTGTTTTACTTAATTACTTGTTAATCCAATTAAGGGTAAGTGAAAGTCACTTTTTTTATTACGGATAACATTTACCGAATATTTGACTTAAGATTCACGGTCATTTTGAAAACTTTGCATTAATTTCTTCAGTATATTCAATGAAATTACAATTTAACCAGGGGGGGGGGGGGTACAGAACAAAAATTGCTAAGAAAAAAACCCAAAAATGTTTACTGTGATGAATTTCCAAGTACTCCACAAACAAAATTGAAAAAGTCAAATTTAAAGGAACTGAAGCATCCAAGTAAAAATTTTTAGATGTCAAAAGGTCTTAAAATCATGATAGATTCATTCAATCATTATTTTATGAAATTTGAAAATTTATCAAAATTCAATTGAATGAAGCTCTATAGAATCAAATTGATCAGTTAATTTGACTTTGTCAATCACATCATACAGTCGAGTCTTACAATCAGCGATTTAAATCAGTTTTGCTGTTTTTGATTAAATTGAACCAACCCTATTGTCCCAAATACGATCCCAGAGAATATCTAGTCAGATTTTGTCATGGCAACTCTGCTTGTGCGATTTGCGATGCAATAATTGTTGCCATCAACATTGTATTGATACATCCTGGGTCATGCAATTGTGCAGAGTTGCAAGTTACTCAATCAGTCTGTGTAGACAAAAATTAATCATATTATTTGGATGTCAATGCATCAGTAAAACATCATTTAAGATGAAAAAGCTGCTGATTGAGCTAATATTATTATTTATTCATCCATTTTCTCCTTAAATCAAGCGACAACGTTTGGAAAACTTTTAAATTACAACGCTATAATTTTATTCTTAAATCTTTGTTATGTATACATAAGCACAGGTGTACAGCACATAATCTTTTTTCAGTAGTTTTGTTAAGGAGTTTAATTGAAAGCTCCTGGATCTGGGGTCAGTATTAAAGTCAGTTCTCATTTCAATTATTCAGTCAGTTTCAACGTATTCAGGTCCGTACCAGTAAAAGTCCTCTACGATTAATTTACAGCTCTCGTATCGTTTTCATACTTACATCTCACGGTTCCTAAATTTCAGTTTCCGTCATTCAACTGCTACTTAAGATGCCGAAGTATATAAACTTCCAAAAAATCCTTAGGCTGGTAGTGGGATTAGAACCCGGGAGTCCAAATTCAACATCAAATTTCGTGATCTGTACCTTGCCAAGTGAGCTACCAAGGACTTTTGCTTCTTACACATTTATTATAAGATACATTTGACTAAACATGGGGGCCGTTCACTTATTACGTTCGCATTTTAGGAGTGAGGGGGGGGTTGAAAAATTGTAACAAAATGTAACATTGGGGGGGGGAATTTGTTTACAAATTCACACCAAAAACATTTTTTTTAAATTTTCTTTCTTTTTAATGAAAGTTTAAATGTTCCTAATAACTACCTATAAAAAATTATCAAAACAAAATAAATTATCAACGTTAAGGGGGGGGTTGTGAGTTGTAACATATTGTAGCAAGGGGGGGGGGGGGTGAAAAAAAGTCGTTTTTTTGCGTAACGTAATAAGTGAATAAGTGAACAGCCCCTTGATGTCTTAAAGCTCATTTTTAAAGAATCAAATTTCAATAACTCTATTCCATAAAATAAAGTTGACTAATTAGCAAAAATTACACTGGTTTCATAACCAACTTAATTAAAATGACAACTAAATTGCACAGTGAAAGTGAGTTCATTATTCATCCCATAACTCTAATTGCTCACTATAAAGTTGAAATTCTTGACAACATCATAAAAATTAATTCAATCCTCTTTTTTCCACTCTCATTAAATGAATTTTATTTAAGTGATGAAAAAAAAAATTGAGATAGAAAAACTCTACGGAATGAAAAATGACGTAAAAGCATAAAGTCATTGTAAGTTGAAGAAAATGACATCACAAAAGAAATTTTACAGAGAGAACGAAAACCATTCAAATTTATTAACGAAATGTTTAATCGCTCGTGGACATGAAGAATAAGAATAAATAAAAAAGAAAATGAAAAGAAGAAGTGGATGGAGATGGGGACGGGGAGTTGAAAAAATGGAGAGACAAAGCAGGATGAAAATGATGCTTTTTCTTTCACATTTAACAGATGAGTTTTTCATCTTATCAGCCAATTTGGAATGAATATAAGTAGAATGGAAAATGTCGAGGACGATGAGCGACCGTTGATGTTGACGATGAGAAGATAATAGCGATGGAAGTATGAAAGAAAATTGATAAAATTTCAGCGGGGAGTGATGTTTGAGTAGACAACATTCAATAGTCAAGATATTGAAAAATGTCATTTAACATTGGAATAAAATTGGGGGCTAAAAATATATCCACAAATATTTATTTTTCAATTCCACTTTCAATTATTGATTTCCACTTCATGTGAAACATCATCGTCATCACTTCTGTGATTATTTTGATTCATTTCTTGCTGTCGCTCCCATTCCTTTTCATCATCCACAGATGGATCATTTTCTTCTTTAACATCTTCGCCATGGGGATACTCCATCTCTACTTGAGGCAAAAATGATGTCGGTGAGTAATTTAACGATGTGTACTTGCAACCAAACCCAATGTAAATGTTGTCACAAATCCTTTTTAATTAGTAAAAAAAGAGGAAGAAAGGCAAGAAGAAGAAAAGATAAATTAAAGTCATAGTCTTTTTCCTGGGGTTACTTAGTAATTTTCATTTGCTCTACTAAATTCTGTTAAAAATTAAGGGGGGAAACAAATCGAAGGAAATATTTTTTTATGAGAAAATTAACCAAGCACCTAGATTTCAGCATACTTAAAGCTCATTCAACTTATTATTCACTTCCATTTCATAAGTTATCTTAAATTATTGTTTTTTTCTCCATTTTTAATTTCCCCCTGACATAAACTTTACTTTCAATGACATCTTCCTTTCACTTCCTTTTTGATCCTTTCTGTAACTATGAGAACATGAATCTCTATGATATATGTGGATAGGCGTACAGAAACAATAGAAATGTAAATTATATATGAGTCTTAGAGCTAAGGAAATGAAAGGCAAGATGAGGAAATAATTAGTGCTTGTTTGTGGCAATCAAACAAAGAAAAAAATTGATACTTTTGTTTGTTCTTATTCGTAACTAGTTTGTGATTGAGAGAAACTACTCAAATTAGCTTGGGTGCTTCTGAAGATACACTTGCCTTCAAGGAAGATTTTGAGCAAGTAAGGTTATGAAAAGATAATTTGATTGAGGTTTTTAGTGGACTTGCGCTTATTCTAAGATATTCGGTTATTTCAGACCTCCACCCAATTATTTAACAAGTAAACAGACCTTTAAGTAGTGAATTTGTGATTAAAAATCTTAATGCTTTTAAAGTCTGACTTGATAGATGGCAAGAGAGCACAACTCGAAAAATCAAGAATCAAGTTATTGACAGAGACAGTGTTTAATTTGGTATTAGAAGTTGACAAGTGGTAGCCAGAGATAGAGCAAACTTCAGGCGCTGTTGAGATATGACAAGAATTAAATCACCAGGCGCAAAAAGTAGAGACAGAAAAGGGTGTAATTTATGTATGACATTTTAGCCACATATATAGTAGCGTGCAAAAGTTAGTGGACAGAACAAAATTTTTAATAATTTCGTTACAAAAGTATCTTCCACTGAACGAAATCACTTCAAATTTTCACAGTGTATCTAATTTTTGATGAGATTTTATATGAAAAACAAATTGTGTACTATAATTAAGTAATTTGAAAAAATCGTTAAAGATTCAAAATCGGTAACGTGCAAAAGTGAGTGGACAACTTTCAATGAAAAAAAAATTTGTTAATAAGTATGTTATAGTAACTTTTCAAGATGAAAATCAAAAGTATTGACGATTTTCTTAATTTACGTTAAAAAATTTTCCACCAAAACCACGTGCTTCTCGACTTTTCTTAAATTCAAAATGGCTACTATTTTTAATGACTTTTAAGCAAATATGTCATATGATTGAATCTTAATTTATTTAGACTTCTGATTTATATAGTATTTGTAATAAACTTTCAGAATATGTATAGTTTATTATAGTAAAAGTTGATACTATGCAAAAAAAATTATAGAAATATTTTTTTCATTCTCGATTTTCTCACAGTCCAGAACATTAAATTGAGGAAATCTTGATATATACTTTGCATATATAAGACTTTTTGGTATTAATTTATTGCATTTTATTTGTCCTTATTTTCGAAAATTTCGAACTGCAGGGTATGAAACTTCGAATTTTGCATGGAAGACAGACAAATAAAACATTTTTATAAGTGTTTTTGGAAACTGTAACGGTCGAAACTTTTGAATTGTTCGTATCAGGGAACAAGCTGTCAAATAGTATGTCAATTGAACGTCTCAAATAATGAAAAATAAATTTTTGTGAAAATGTGAAAAGTGATTTCGTTCAGTGGAAGATACTTTTTGAACGAAATTATTAAAAAATTTGTTCTGTTCACTCACTTTTGCACGCTACTGTATAGTCGGATACCCCCGATAGGTCAGTGGCAGGAGCATGCGACTGAAAATCATAGGACGTGGGTTCAATTCCCACTCGGGATCCTTTGATCGGAGTTATTCTTTCTTCTATTCAACAACAGACGCTATAAATAAGGGAGGCTTAAGTTCTGATTGGTCATCAAAATAATTAAGTATGGTAAAAAGAGATCGATAGTCAAAGCCAGCTGTTGTGCTCTAGAAAAAGTTACATTTTTTACCACAAACATAGTTTTTAAAAAACTTATTGAATCAACTTTAGCTAAGAGCTTTTTATAAATGCCTAGCTTATCTACCTTACTACCTTCAGCTTGCTCCGCATTTGATTTCATTTCAAATCAAGCAGACGACTGTTTAATACCAAACTACGTCTTACTATACAGGATTCTAAGAAATCATCATTAATGATCAAACCAGGCAATACAAGTCGTGACAATTAAATAGATTTTTGCTACCTACTCTTCATCTCATTCCCCATCCTTTCATCATCACTTTCATTATTAGCAAAACTGTATACATGGACAAACACTTTATAGTCAGTCATGAGACAATTCAGTCCTTTCTTGTTAATAACATGAACAATAAGAAGGCAAATGCGAAAAGCAAACAAAAACAAGAGACAAGAAAAAATGAAAGGCAGCAAAGACGAGCAAGAAAATATATCAAATTACCTATCTTTGACAAAAGTAAACGCCCCTGACCAAATGTTTGATTGAAGGAGAACAAGTGGTGACTCAACAAAAGCATCACTCAATCTAATTGTCCATGGGGAAATGATATCATTTGTCAAACGATCACCGGAACATGATGTGAACAATGGAACTAGCATTTCCGGTCTCATTTCGATATTTGTTATTTCCGTTACATTTTCATCGTCATCATCATTATCATCATCAATTGATGACTCATCATCATTGTCATTAACTTGATTATTTATCAATAAACGTCCATCGAAATAGCAAACACGTCCTTGTTTAAGAATTTCCGGCTTTATGTGCATCCAATGATCCAATTTTAAAAGTTTGTCTAATGGCAGCGGGTGATATGATGCATTCACCCTAATCGGCTTATCATTATCTGCACAAAAAAAAGGAAATAAAACCAGAATGTAAAGACATTATAAACTATGATGATATCAAGTATCATAACTTCTTTTCATTTATCGTCATGAAATGCACGTCACGTAACATATTAAAAGATAGTTGTACTTTAAATACGAGAGAGATCATAAAGAGGTCATCGATATGATACCATTAAAAATTTTAAGTTTGCTGCCAGACATTATAAATGAGGGCATTTACATCAATAAATGGATTAGGAATTAAAAATTTCTCACGTGTTCAACATTTAAATGCAGTCCTTGTCATATCGACAACATTCTATATAATGATTGGTCTTTGGTGGGAGTCAAACCCAAGTCCTCACAAAAGAAGGTTACATAAATCAGTTATTTGTTGCCTAACGTTAGCGAGACTAACTAGCAAATCGCTAGTCTTTCTATTCTCCTACTTGCAATTTACTAGTAATTATTAAAACAACTTACTATTAGTAAATTACACTTACTATTAATAGCAAATTACTAGCAAATTACCATGTAAAATGTTTGATAAAATCTTGTTAAGTTCGAATCCTACAAAAAATAATCAAAAAAAGAATTTTTTGCGTCATAAAAAGAATTTTTTGCGTCATAAAAAGAATTTTTTGCGTCATAAAAAGAATTTTTTGCTTCATAAAAAGAATTTTTTGCGTCATAAAAAATTTTGTTCTAAATTTGGCATTTGCTATATACTTCACAAGAGCACGCAGAAATCACCTTTATAAGGTCGATCCAAATTTGTATGTGACTTTCAATTAATTGTTTATCTTCCTCAGGTTTGCGTGCGAGTCATGGGCGTTCATCACTATTCGACTTAATTAAATTAAGTCTTTTATGTTTTTTCATAGTGTTAGTGTACTTTAATTAAGTACACACTTATTGACTAGTCAATTAGCAAGTGAAAAGGCGGGTGTTTGGCGAAGATATGGACTTGGATTTTGACTATTAAATAGCAAGTAGCAAATGGAAAGTTATCCAGTAAATTACTAGGAAATTACTAGCAAATTTCTGCTAAGGAACCACTTGCACGACTGATGTTTAACTCTCTCACTGACAGATTCGCCTATAAATGGCTTGATACCTCAGATTCCACTTTGCTCAAACACCACAATAAGTGGCATCGACAAATAGATTTTTAAAGCCCAATTAAACTGGTGGTTTCATATAAAATGCGCTCATCAAGACTAGTTTTTAAAGTTTCATGAACAAAGTACAACAAAAAAAAAATCATTTGCAGGAAAGATTCTTTTTTTTATCCATAAAGTAAGCAAAGTTTTTCTTGCTCTATTTTATGAGCTTTAACTAAAGAGCTCTTCATGAATGGCAAAGTAGAAAATGGAACTAAAGAGTGTGAGTGAGAAAAACTTACTGCATTTATCTTCATCAAAATTGTCATTCTCTTCCTCGCCATCTTCATTGTTGCCATCAATAATATTCTTATTAGATTCGATTTCATAAAAGTTTCGTGGTGCCACATGAGTGCTGGATGAAATTCTCGCAATAATTGCACGTAAATAGTTTCGTTCCGTACCAGGAAAAGTGGGATGTGAAGGAATTTCGGCATCAAGATTTCCAGTAAAATATTTTTTGATGCGACGTGATACATTAATTTGATGTGGTGTGGCTAATGGCAACTCAATCCACTCTTCATACAAATTTGTACAGACATAATAAACACATCGATTGACTCCATGTCCTATTTTCTCAGCAGGTATCTCGATCGGTCTACGATATGAAGTTTGTGGAATGTTCATCGAAAAATTCCACTCAGTTGGATATTCCTTTCTTTCATTCTCATCAAAAGTTTCATTCATTTCTCTTTTATTAGGCATACTGTCAGATACAGAACTAATATCGTCCGATGTAGCCACAACAACAGCAGATTTTTCATTTTTAGAATTTTTCCCTACAACACTTGTGCTTTCGAATCTCATAGAAGCATTTGACGACGATTTACGTTGCTGATCAGAAAATTCCCGATTCAATGGTTCCATGCTCATGATATTTATTGCCTTCTCAACAGCATCCTACAGAAGCGGCCAAACAATAGAATGAAGATGAAAATTTCATTCCTTTGTTTTTTCTTCCTACTCATAGTTTACAGGAAAAATAGCTTATAGAGAAAATTTAATTTTCATTCCTTTTACTTCAATAAAATTGGAATTCAGTTAAGTGTAGATTGCATAAAAATAGTGAGGTTGTATGGATTGTTTTAGGCAGCACTGAACATTTGCAAACTCATTTCAAGAAATTTTTAAATTGTGGATATGGCTCGAAGAGCATATCTGTAGTAGATAGGCCTGAGCATAGGGCTCGCGTAGAAACTGGTTATTTGTGTATGACGGATAGCCAAAGTGAGATAAGTACCTCGGAGGCATAGTGGCAGGGATCTCTGATCTAGCGATCAAATATCGCCTCTTTTGAGGTCGTAGGTTCGATTCCCATCGAACCCGACTTGTTTTGCATTAGTATACATATATAGCAGTTAAAAAGAGATCTACAAAACTAAAGTTGGGTCTTAATATTTAATTTAAAATCCTTAATCGAGACTCGAACATAGTATTACTGTATAAGCATTAAAAGAATACTAGCATTATAAGAAACATTATAAGAATGAGCAAAAAATCAAAAAACTGGAGGTCCTCGATTTGAGTAGGTGTTTTGTTCCAGAAAAATCCTATTCAAATCGAATCTACTCAAATCGAGGACCCATAGTAGTAACTTCAATATTATATTGTAAATTTCGAAAAAGACATCTTAAAGCACAGAATTAATCCATACAACCTGCACATCCGACAAGATCTACACCAGTTCTCCATATGAAAATTCTTTTCACTCCTTTTCACATGACATGATCTGAATATCATCAGAGTAAGTGAGAAGAAGTTAAAAGAAAGAAGAGAACGAAGTGAAAGGAGGAAATGAAAATTGCATAGCAATAGTAAATCAGCATTTAGCAAATATAAATTTGTATCAAGACAAAGAAAATTCTCTATATGCAAGGAAAGAAGCACTTACAATTCGTTTCTCCAAAGCATCTTCGGTTAATGTACATTCAGCAATATAGTAGTCATTCCTTAAGCCAAATATTTTACCCCAGAAACGAGTGCTTGAGAATATTGCATTCGTCTTGAGTTTTCGTATCGCACATGATAATGAGAAAGTTTCTTCGCGTGGAAATCCAATGCCTAATAAATTCCAATAAAACTGTAACTCACATAAATCTTTCACTGCTGGCGATTCATAATAAATAACGTCATTTTGTTCATCGTCTTCTTCTCCCTCGTCCATAACAACTGAATTTGTGGACGTCATAGATTTCATTTCATTCTTATTTTTATTCATTTGCTGACGCTGCTTTTGTTGTTGCTGATTATATTCCTCAATACGTATTGGTAGCATACGTTGTGCACTTGTAAGACGATCTGGCTCCTTATATGCGACCTCAATTCTCATGTCCTGCATTCGAAACTTTTCCAAACGAACTCGCTCGCTGTATAATTCAAAATGATCAACAACATTCGATGGACGCTCATCGATTACTTTAGTTATGACACGAGTAAGATGCTCGTACAATGAATCTCCACTTTCGTTGCTGGATTGCTGAAGAAAAAGCTTTGCATTTTGTAAATCCTTTTTGAGTGACGGGAATACTTCAGTCATTTGTTTCATACGGTAATTTTGATTCGAAATAGTTTTTCTATTGATGCTGCTACTCTTCCTCGATCCTTTATTTTTCTCATCGTTACTCATCTCACTTGTCATATTTATTTTCCTCTTCTCCTGTGACACTTGTGAGCTTTCGAGATATGACACAGAAAAAATATATTTAACGATGATGAAGATGTTGGTTCAAGATGACTAAAAATGATGAGAATGAATAATCCAAGAAGAAAATTGAAAAAAATTGCTCTTGGTGCGGTAGAAACAAATTAATAAGAAATGTAATAAATTGAAATTGAGAGAGAGAGAGTGGAAAAAATAATGAAAAAAATATGGTGACTAAGATTGAAAAGTTTTTTGACTCAAGTATTGTTGGATATAAATTGCTTTTCTCCCTGAAGTTTGGGTAATATTTAAAGGAGAATGCATGATTAGTCTGAAGTTGATAAAAATTAACACTCTTTGATAGTTAACTGGAGCGTACCCAAGGATGTGAAACTGATCGAAATTAATCAATAGTCAGTCATTTTATCCAAAAATTAATTTGAAGATCATGCTTAAGCTTTTTGAATATTGACTTACCAACCAACGTATATCGTTTGATCCTGTTTCATCTATTCGTACCATGTGCATAGCGAGAGAAGTTATATCAAGGCTTTGGCTTGATATTTCATTTAAGTCGACTTAGTTGCAATACCGACAGCAATTGCAATATATTGAATAGATAAAACTTATCTTGTAAATTTCTCTTTAAAGTTCAATTTAAATTAAATTAATACAGAGTCCTCAAAGTCATTGAACAATTAAATTTTTTCAAGCAAAAATTCTAGCAAATTGCTCATTAATATCATCAAAAAAGAGGCACCTTAAAAGCACCAGACAGAATTTCACTCTTTTCGTCCATCATCAGCAAAAACAAACTTTTTCTACTCTTTTTGAAGCGTCTCATAAAAAAATCTTTTCTTCTTGGAAGAGCTTATGATGAACTTAAATGATTTTCAATGTCATTCATTCCCATTCATTCAAGTCGTATAGGAGGCTCAACTTTTATTTACGATGTAAGTTACATGAAATGATTTCAACCCTCATAAAAGAATTTCAAGAACTTGAAAGATTTTCAATGTCATTCGAGATGAAAGCTTTACATTTTTGTGCCACATTCTTTAAGCTTAATAAAAATAATTTTGACATAAAAATTTCTCTATTAAGTGATAGTATTATTGAGCATTTTCAATAGGATTTATGGAAGTAATATAAATTTTTTTTAAAGAAGCTATAAAAGTTATTGGTTGTTTGGAGATTTTTTTTTTGGATTTATTGGTATAGATTGAATAGTGAAAGATTTTTGTTCATACAAAAAATAATCCCTCCACCACCTCTCACCAAACCTCACCTTATCCTCGTGTGTAAGTCTGAAGGAAGGCTAATCCACTGTGCTTCGGATAGGCTGGATAGATTGATAAAGTATTCCATGATTTAACAAACCTTTATGAATCTTAACAGCAAATTTAAGACACAGCAAATCTTGGACCAACTCATTTCCAAAACCTCAACTTTGTAACTTAATCCTGTTTGTTTCCTCTTAGATAATAATTTTGACTAATAAAGGATTAAGTAAAGGAGAAGGCTTAGAACTTTAGGGATATGGAAGGTGAAATTAACCTCTATGTTACAAAAGTTATAAATACTAAACTTCAATTTCTAGAATTCTTCAAACAAAAATATCAAAAAAATTTCAACAAAGCTGAATCAATTTTTCAGCAAGCTTTAATCTTCAACAAAATCAGCAGACACCACAAAATATTCCATGCAAAATTCCAATTAAATAAATGTTTCATAATGACACAAGCCTGTCTTACATTATATTCGTGATGATTTTCACTGCCAACATTATATTATGAAGAAGAGACGAAATAAAGCTGTAGCTGTTGCTTCTTACTTAATGCCTTTATTCTCATTTTATATCCAAAAAAAAAGTGATACAAAGAAATGTGAGAACAAAATGAAATTCTTTCACAAAAAAAATAAAGAAATCCGATTGAATTAAGCTTAAAGTGCAAAGAAATGGAATCAATCAATGAGAAGAGAAATTCTTTCATTACATGAGAGATCTATCAATCCATAAAACATTTTTACCAAAAATTCTATTGCTCCTTTTTTATTTGCACCATATAACATTGAGCTCATACATACATTTTGTGATAATATTAAAGACAGTAAAGAAATGATAAGAAAATCCATCACACTAGATGACTCCGATGTCTTATCGCTCGCAAAAAATCGATTTCTAATCAATGAGCTTTCGTATGAGCACAGACGTACAATTTTAACTTCTTCTTCTTTTACATCATCTTATATAGTATTTGCGATATATCGTCTGCACCATTTCCCTTTTATGTGCTCTTAGATTTCTTCTTAGTTTTCAATTTTCTCTCGATTTAGGATAGCAAATAATTCTCAGAATACTTTTCAGTGTGGGACATGCAGGTTAAAGATTCATTTGAACTTATTTTTTTATAAACGATTGGATCAAATTATGATAAAGGATGATGATAATTTCCTGGATTACTGAAGATTCTTTGTAGAAATTCATTAAATTTGTCTAGTTCTGATCGGGTTTTAAAGTTTTAAAAATATCAAAAGCTACCTGGCACAGAACAGTGATGAAAGAATGTCAGCTTAATGTGCGGACAGAGAAGTTGTACAAACTAGGTGACAGAGCCAGCAACATTGTCAGATGGAAAGCCTTTTGTTGTAACCTAAGCTTCACATAGGAACATGGTAAAAGTAAAGTAAGCAAGTAAGTAGGTTTAAAGAATTTGTTCAAATCAAAGGTTTATTTACAAGAAGTGGCTACTGACTAATATCTAAACTTCCAAAAAAGAAAGATATTTAAAAATGGCTGGATTCGAACTGACGACTTTCAAGTTGCCATACCAGATAAGAGCTAAGCGCCTTACCTTTTTGACTATTATTATTATTTATTTGTCGACTTTACCGTCCGAAAGAATTCGTGTTTATACATCTTTACTTTTCACATTGATTAGTAATAAATTTTCATATCACTATGGTGATGAAGGATCAAGCTTCCAATCTTTAAATCTAGGTGTCGATTAAATTCAGGCTCTTGTTTCAGTCTTCTGTGGGCGTGACGTGATATATTTCAGGTCCGTTCTGACAATGTTCCATTATAAGGTAATCTTGTAGCTCTCGTTCCTATTTCTCCCGCTTCATTTCAAGTTTCTGATCTGTTCCTTAATCCAACATTGCCCAAAATGCCCAATTATGGCTTGATCTCGTACATTAAGCAGTCGAAGTATCTAAACTTCTGAAAAAGAACAAATTTGGAAATGGCTGGGTTCGAACCAACGACCTTCAAGTTATAATACCAAATTTGAGTCGAGCGGCTTACTTATTCGACCAGCAAGGCACTCAATCCAGACACCAGCAATTGATTATAATTAATTTTCCTATATTAACTCCATAAATATTTTTAACAATCATCAGTGCTTTAAATCCTGAAACATTTTAATATTTAATAGTTTAAACATCAATCATAAAACCTAATAAATGATCATTATCGTACATCCTCATCAAAACCATAAGTACATAGAATGAAAAAAATTGTCGATTGCAGAGAATTCTTTTTTCAAGCTCTAAATCACATAAGTATGTAAATAAATAAAAGCATACTGATGCTTTTTGTAGATAAACTAGTGTATTGGGTAGAAACCCAATGCGGATATATTCACACCGTACCATCAAAAGTCTTATGGATAGACCAAGATTTGCTCAGCATAAGTTTGATCGAGACCCATATCGACACAGTTCAAAAGTTATACCTAATTTATGTTATAATTATGTCAGCTACATAAGCACTTAGTTTGAAGTTTGTCACCCTCGAGAACACTATGAACCAGTATAGCTGATTTTGGTCCAAATCTCGGCCATACTTCACACTTATTTGAACCACATTTTCTCGTAAATGTTAAAATATTATTAAAAAGTAATTAATCCTGAATTATGTCGCTATTTTGTCAAGTGTTTTAAGATAAAAAATTTGTTTTTTGGTTTCCACAGTGAAGAGTATGAACAAAATTCAGATGGGGTAGTCGAAATTTTAGATTTCGATTTTTTTTTAAGCTATGCATTACAAAAAGTAATATTGGTATGTGATTTATGTCAGAATTATGTCAATTCAAATAAAACATCCAAAAAATTTTTTTGACAAAAGTACACCATAGAAAATCAATTTTCAATTTTGGACTAGGGGCGACCCTAGTCAAAATCAATTTTATCACTTTTTTTCTTCAAGGGTTTATCCAAATGGATTGAACTTTTGCATAAATATTCTAATGCTTAAAACAAATACAAATAAAACATTTTTAAATTTTTTTGAGCAAAGAACCAAGGAGGAAATACATTTTCAATTTTGGACTAGGGGCTACCCTAGTCAAAATTAATTTTGTCACTTTTTTCTTCGAGGGTTGGTACAAATGGATTAAAATTTTGCAGAAATATTCTAATGCTCAAAACAAATACAAATAAAACATTCTTAAATTTTTTTGAGCAAAGAACCAAGTAGGAAATACATTTTCAATTATGAACTTGGGACAGGTCTAGTCAAAATCTAGTTTTTCACTTTTTTTCTTCGAAGGTTTATCCAATTACAGTGAAACTTTGTGTGAGTATACTAATATTTATACAAAACAGTTTTAAATATCTAAAACAAGAAATGTATTCTATATGTCGTCAGACCCAAATTTTATAAATTTGGTTGTACATTCAAAAACAATGTGACTTAAAATTTTGTCCAAAAAAATTATTTTTATTAATTCAGAAATGTGTGACCTGAAGATTAGAATGCTCAAACAAAGTTTTACTGTATTTGGATTTATCCTCGAAGAAAAAAAAGTGAAAAACTAGATTTTGACTAGACCTGTCCCAAGTTCATAATTGAAAATGTATTTCCTACTTGATTCTTTTCTCAAAAAAATTTTAGGAGGTTTTATTTGTATTTGTTTTAAGCACTAGAATATTTATGCAAAGTTTCAATCCATTTGGATAAACCCTCGAAGAAAAAAGTGACAAAATTGATTTTGACTAGGGTTGCCCCTAGTCCAAAATTGAAAATGTATTTCCTACTTGGTTCTTTGCTCAAAAAACTTTAGGATGTTTTATTTGTATTTGTTTTAAGCACTAGA